CACAGGCCGCCCACCCGTCTGCAGCCCAGCTCAGAGCCCCCTCCTCGGGGAAACTGAGTGTCACAGGTCACCCAGTCAAGAGAAGCATGAGCACCCTGTCTGCCCCATCTCTGCCCCCGCCGAGCGGACACCCGAGTCCCAAGGATCCCAGCCCAGGGTGGGCCCGGTGTGTCTGCGGGGGGCGGGGGACAGGCAGCAAGCGGACCCCGGGGGGGGACGCAGGCCAGGGTGGTCAGGTCAGAGGCCATCGCCTCCGGGAACCTGGCCCCCGACATGCGGGCCCCGCCCCTCACTCGCTCTGTCCCTGTCTTCCCACCCACCGTGTGCAAGAGGCATGGTGCGCTCACCTCACGCCCTGTCCCAGAGCAGGGTGCCCGGGGCCGGGGGAGCTCCTAGTGTCCACACATTCACCCACTCACGTGGTCCGGCTGCCGACACCTGTGAACTGTGCAGCCTGCAGCCCAGGGCTGGGCTCGGGGCAGGGGTGCTTCTCAGAGTCCGGCCCACTCCGGAAGTATTACTGAGGTGGGGGCCATGAGCCCAGCACACCCTGTGTCCTGGGGCCTGGCTGGTGGTGCCGGGGGCCAGGGTGCACACCCCGTCCCCCGGAACACCGCTGGACAGGGACCGGGCCAGGGCCGGACGGGGCTGGGCCCTGCCATAGACGTCTTCTGGCAGCTCCGTCTCTGGCTTGCCCAGACCCACAGCGGATGAAGCTGGCCCCCTGGCTGCTCTGGGCCCGGCGGGCCTCACCTGGCACCCCTGCAGCGCCTGGGCCTGCCCTCCAGAGTCTGTGGGGGCCTGGGTTGGTGCATGGGGGTCTACAGGGCAGAGGGTAGGTGCAGGGGTGAGGACCAGTGCCCCCGATGGCTGGAGGTGGCCCCCTGATGCCCTAGGGTAGGGTCCAGGACACCCAGCGTGGAGGCTGGGTCTGACCACCCGGCGAGGTCCCTGCTCCGCTGGAGGTGGCTCAAGTCAGCCCAATGGCGCCCCCTGCAGGCTGCCAGGCCCAATGGCGCCCTCACAGCCTTAACCGCCTTGGTCAGCACCCGGCTCCTGGGCTCTGGGGTCCTGGGAAGGGAGGCCTCTGGGAAGCAGGGCCCGGGTGCGTGCGGCTGTCCCCACACGTGCGGCCCCTACAGGCGTGCTCGCCACCTCATGGGCACACCTCACGCCCCAGCAGGGCCCCCAGGGCAGCCTCCGCTGAGCCAGGACCCCCTTCTCTGGCCCAGTGCAGCCCACTGGCCCTGGTGGCCGCCTGTCTCCAGCCCCTGCTCCCAAGTGTGTGGTGGCTCGTCGGCCTCCACCCTGCCAGGACCGCCCCAGGGCGCAGGTGACAGGAGCCTGAGGGGCCAGTGAGGGAGCTCAGAGCCCGCGTGTGCACACCCAGGGCCCACGGGCACACGCGGCATAAATGCTATCTGGTCTTCCCAGAGGGCAGAGGCACAGATGGGACCTTCTGGGTACCCGCTGGGCCACGCGGAAATCCTCCTCCCTTCTGAGGGGCCAAGGAGAGTTTGGGGCTCAGCCTGGGCTGGGGGCAGCTGTTCGGGGACGCAGCACCTGACTTCAGGGGGAGGCCATTGCTGGAGAGAGCCGCAGTCACCTTCAGGTGGGTAGGGAGTTGGGGGGCACTGAGGGTGGCCAGTCCCCCTGCACCCCCATCCTGCTCCTCCCCCATGGGGCCGGAGCCACGTGGCTGGCAGCCCCTGGCCAGGGACCCTGTCAGCGGGGTGTGGATGGCCACAGGTGGGGTGGTGGACGGGCCTTGGGCTGGGCAGTCCCAGTCACGGTGTCTCCGTCGCTCGGCCGCCATCACAAAACCCCGCGGACCGGGCCTTCAGCGGCAGACCGTTGTTTCTCACGGTTCTGGAGGCTGAAGTCTGAGATCGAGGTGGCGGCCTGCAGACGGCCACCTTCTCGCGGTGTCCTCACCAGGAGGCCAGCGACCTCTCCCCTCTCCTCCTCTTCTGTGAGGACACGGATCCCATCTGGGGGATCCCTCACCTCACCCCCGCCTGAGGGCCCCCACCGATGCCATCCCGCCGGGGCTCAGGGCTTCCACGGAGTAGTCTGGGGGACGCAAACAATCCGTAAGAGAGGGAGTGTCTGCAGGTTGGGGAGGCCCTCTGCTCCTGCGCTCTAGGAAGGTGGGGGCAGCCCCTGAGGGTCCTGTCCACAAGGCCTCTGTGGCCACGGCTGCTGCCCTGGTGACACGACGTCCCCCCTGCTCAGCCCCGGGGATGGGAGGCAGCGCCCAGGACGGCCCCCGAGTCCCCATGCCCCCGTCCTGGCCCGAGGCCCCAGGGCGCCGCTGGTGTCCCATGCAGAGCACGCAGGGGCATGGAACTTCAGCCCCACGGCGGCATGCCTGGCTTGGCCGTGTTTCCCGGGGGAAGCCCAGTGCCAGGCCTGCCCGGCCTTGCAGCCTCGAGTTAACTCAGGCTCCAGGATAAACAGCCATTCAGCCGCACAAGGCCCCTTTGTCCTGAAGAGAGGCTCCTGGCCCAGGACGCGGCCCGGCGGCCGTGTCCTCAGCACGGCCAGTTGCCCCCAGTGGCCTTCCCTGGGCAGACTCCTGGCCTGGCTCAGAGAGGCCCCCACGGGGGATGGGGCCCTGGCGGCTGGCAGGCAGGCTGGCCAAGCTGGGTGAGAAGGTTGCCACTGCCGACCCCTCGGGGCAGCCCTGACTCTGCCAGGACGAGCGGGAGCCGGGCAGCCACACGGCCCCTGCCCCCTCGGCCGGATGGGCCTGTGGGTGGGTGAGGCCACGGACGAGCAGCAGCTCTGAGCCCCAGGAGCTGGGAAGCCTGCCGGCTGCAGGTCTGCCTGGCCCTGTCTACTCAGGCCCCGGTCCCCCTGCCATCCCCGTCCCCTGAGCCCTGCCCAGCCTCTTCCCCACCAGCGGCCTTTGGCTCTGGAAGCTCCTCTGGGTGGGGGGTGAGCTGTGGAGCACCTGCCCAAGAGTGCGGTGGGGGTTCCTTGCAGGGGAGGGGTGGGGCAGGTAGATGGGGTGCCGGGGAAGGGGTTACTAGGTTTGGAGTAGGGTGGGGGGACTGTATGTTGAGAGCAGGAGCCCGGGGCATTCCGGGGAAGGGGCCAGCATGCCGAGCAGGGGCCCAGAGCCCTGCTTCCGAGTGGCAGGACCTGGGGCTGGGCGGGCGTGGGGGGTGCCGCGTACCTGGCCCACACCCTCTGCTGGCCGGTGCCGTGGGGCCTGGTGCAGGGACACCCAGGAGGATGCCCTCCAGGGGCAAGTGCCCCCAACCCGTGCCTCACGCAGGAGAACGGGGCGGAGGAGGGGGCGCGGCCAGTGGCCTGGAGGCATCACAGGCCTCTGGGCAGGAGGCTGTTGGTCGGTGGGGGCGGTCAGGCGGGCCTGCCGGGGGGCAGCGAGGGTGGCCTCTGTGTGGGGGGGACACTTCTGTGTGGGCCTCGCTTCCAGGGGGCCCAGGCAGGGCTAGCGAGGGCCCCCAGACACAGCTGGTTTGGGGTGTCCGGGAGGCCGCTCGGAGAAGTGGTTTTAGAACAGAGGCTCATGGCTGGACGGCGGCATCCTGGGGGCCCGCCCGCCCGGGCTTGGGCTCCACCACTGTGGCTGGGGGCAGGTTCTAGAGCACAGGAACGCCCTGGCGTTCTAGAGAAGAGGCCCGACAGGAGGTGCCCCAGGGATGGGGGACACCGTGGGACAGGAGATAGGAGGGCCGTGAGTGGGGGTTCTGGAGCCCGGGCGGCCCCACGGTTCCTGTCCCAGCCTGGCCCTTGTCCCAGCACCAGGCACTTTCCTTCCAATGCTGAGAGCAAACATGCCCTCCACCTCCGGGGTCCTGGATGCCCTGTGGGCTGGCCCCACGGTCACCTCCCTCTCTGCCCCGGGCCAAGGCCCATGGCCGGCAGCGCCCCCTGATGGTGGCTGGTCTGGACTGCTGCCCACCCCAGGTCTGTCCTGGGGAGGCCAGTCGCCAGCTTGAGTCCCAGCTGAGTGCGGTGGCACTGGGGTGCTCAGAGGCCTCCTAACTGCGGGCCTCGGCTTGGGTCTTTGTGCCGGATCCCCCGCTCCCTTTTGCCGGCCGTTCCTCCTTAGCACCCAGACTTGGCTAAGGAGAGGCTGGTGCCCTTTGCCTGCTCCTTGAGGACAGCGAGTTCTGAGCCTGGCAGCACCACCAGCATCACCTGGGGACAGGTTCCAAGTGTGGGGCCTCAGCCTGCCCAGACCGACCACGTCAGGCTCTAAGGAAACCCCACGCCTGGACCTAGGGGCCACACTGTGAGGACATGGCTCCCAGGGACTGGGTCACGTATCAAGAGTCCCAGAGACCAGCGTCCACGGTCCCCTGGTGTCCCTGTGGACCTCGCTTCTGCCTGGTTCAGAAACCACCTGTCCCAGAGGTTCACCTTTGCCCTGCAAGTGCCCCCTCTTGGCCCCGTCCCCGGTACCATGTGGTCAGTGAGCAGGAGATGGAGGAAGAACCGTGCTCGGGTGCGTCCGAGGGTCCAGGAAGTGTGTACGGCAGGCCCCTGCTCCGGATGTGGTCTCGATAGCCACCGAGGGGTCACCAACTCAGACACCCACGTCGAGACCCCTGACTTAGGAGGCGCCGTGCCTTCGTCCCGGCTCAGATGCCCGCTCTGGTCAGGGTGCTCCAGAGAAGCGGCCGGTAGAGGCGTCGAACTCCACTTCTGGGAGCTCCGTCTTGGACTCGGCCCAGGAGGCTGTGGGGTCCAGCTGGGGAGCCCTGCCTCGCAGTGGATGGCGGGAGGCCTACCCCGTCATCACGGACGGCACTCAACATGACAGTAGGTGTTCATTCACCGCGGCCACAAAGCACCTCAGCAACGTGGGAGCCACAGCCCCACCCAAGGACGCAGGCCAACCGTCCCCCTGCCGGGGACCACGTGCCGTGCGAGGGCAGGGCTGGGGTCACGACAGCGGCGGCTGGGTCAGCCTCTGGCCGAAGCCAGAAACCCACATCATAGTCAAAACCAGGCAACTTCAACACTTGAACCAAAGGGAAACTTTATTTACTCTTCTTTTTAAAGCAATCTAGTTTAAAAACAAGAGATCAAGAGAGAAGAGAAGAAACTTCTACAGACAGACACACAAATGGGGTGGGGGCTTCCGTGTCAGATTTTCTCCATCTTGGAGATGAGGTCATCACAGATTCGGGTCAGTTCCTCGTTTTCCTTAGTCTGAAGGAGAAAAGTGAAAACCCTATTTGTTTTCCCGAAGATTTTATTCTGAAGTCCTCCCTACATCCCCCGTGGGGCTTGAACTCACAACCCCGAGATCAGAGTCGCACACCCTTCCGACTGAGCCGGCCGGGCACCCCGAATCCTGCAATTCTCAGAAGCGGCAGCCTGGGAGCAGGCCACGGGCCCCCGTACAAGGCACTGGCTGAGGGCATGTGCTACAGGGCAGGTCCCTGAGCCGGGAGGCTCCCCCTCCGCCAGGCGCCGGGGGTCCTGTGTGCCCACCTTTTGCTCGACTGCCTTCTCCAGCGAGTGGATGCGCATCTGCCCCTTCCTCAGGCTGGCCTGGAAGGCCAGGGCCTCCGCTTGGGCCTTGCTGCGCACCTGGGCCATCTCCTCGCTGGCCCTGGGGACACACAGGGCAGGGCTGAGAGGCCAGGGACGGGGGCGTGCCCCCCCCCCAGGCTTGCTAGACCTATCTCCACCTGCACTCACAGCTGGAGCTTCTCCTCTGCGTGGGCCTTCAGGGCCTGGTACCGCTGGCCTTCCTTCTCTATCCTCGCTATGTAATCCTCCACACACTTCTTCAGCGACTCTTCATTCTTCAGAGAACGAGCAGACGTGAACCGCTTGCAGCAGACCACTGTCGGAGACCCCCAGGCCTGGCCTTTTGGTCAGGTGTGGATGGGTCCGCCATCAAGGCTCTCTGGGACGTTAACAGAACAGCAGCTCCGACGAGGAAGGCCACGTGAACACAGCTGGAGGCCTCCCCCCGTCCCCCTGCCACATCTGACCCCTGGCCCTCCTGGCTGCCGAGGCCCCCACGCCTCTGGCGGGCATTGCTGCCCGCAGAAGGGCACATCTGGACGCGTGGCCGGGGCTGTCTACAGCCTTGCAGCAGAGTCTTAGGTCTGACTGTGAGGAGCCCCAGTCAGGCCAAGGACCTTGTGCCCACCCCCTGGGGGCGGTGGTGGGGCCAGCGGGTGCCCAGAGAGAGCACGTGGCCCCCCGGGGCATCGTCGGTCAGACGCTATGGGTTGACAAAGCCAATAGCTGAGAGGCAGGGGTGTAGGGAAGGGCGTGGGCAGGGGGAAGGCTGGAGGCTGAGCCCTCGCCCCTCACGGCCACAGGCCCCCTTTCAGCTTTGCCCTTTGCTTCCTTCTTCCACACGTCAGGCGGCACCTTCTAGGCCCCCTGCCCCCCGCACCCCGCACAAGCCCATCTCGGCACCTGTGTGTGCGGTCCCCGCGTGCCGCCCATGTGCCTCCCGATGCCCTCTGGGAGGGGACAGCTCCTTCGGGGACTCCCCTTGCAGAGGATGAAAGGGTCGGCCGCAGGGGGAGCCCTGCCCGGCCGTGTACCCAGAATGCACCCATGTGGTGGGGCCACTGAGGTCCCAGTGGCCCAGGCCCTGCTCCAGAAGGCAGCCACTGGAGCTCCTCGGTGCCCACTGCACACCTAAGCACCCGCTCGGCCTGCCGTGCCTGTCTCCCATCTGGGCCCCACGGCCCCTCTGCTCACGTCCCTGGACAAATAGTAACGTCCTCCAAGCCTGGGCCTGGCGGCGAGGGGAAGGCGCGGCCAGGTGCCACCTGGGTTATCTTCCTGACCAAGCCGAGGACACGGGGCAGGCTGGCTCCGTGGCTGACCACAACCCCCTGGGGACCCTCTGCGGGAGGACAGGCACGGGCCCACTCGGCACCACGTACCGTGTGATACCCCTCGATCACCTCCTTCTGTTTCTCAAACCGCTTGAAGAGGTCAGAGAAAGACTTTTCCATGGAGCTCAGGTCAGCAGCCAGTTGGTCTTTTTCCTTCAGAATCTTCTGGATCTCCGCTTTTGCAAGTTCCTTCTGTTTCTGAGCCTCCTCTTGAGAAGACAAAAAGCACCTAGGATGAGAGGAGCACCGACATGCCGGCCCCCAGACAGCACACAGGAGGCAGGAGAGGCGCAGTGGTGGAGGAGAGGTGGGCAGCCCACCCGTGGTCCCGCTAAGGGCTGGGTGACAGGGCCCCTCACCGAGCAGAGCCTGGGGGGGCCCGAGAGCCAGCCCTCGGTGGGGGGACAGGAACCTGCTGGAGCTTGAGGCTTCGCCCAGGGTGAGGACCGGTACTCACTCCGAGCCCTGCCTGACACGTCCAGCGCCCAACCCCCCGAGGCCACACTGGACGCGTAGCCCCTGGGGGTGTGGGGGGGCAGACCGTGGGTACAGCAACCATGGCAGGGACCCCACACACGCACCCAGGGTCTGGCCAGTTCTGGTGCCACCTGGCCCCGACTGCCAGATGCCCCCTCACGGGCCTCAGCTGCTCCAGCACTCACCCATCGCCTGGTATACGATCCCCTCAAACCCGTCCATTATCTTCCTGCGGGGAGAACGGAGGTGCCCGTGACCACCTGCGGCAGGCGAGCCTGAGTCGCCCAGAGCGCGCCGCGGGCCTTACCCCATTTCCAGGTTCTTGGCGTGCAGCGCCTCACACCTGCTCCTCAGCAACGCGTTCTCCTCGCGTGTGGCCTCTACCTGCACAAACCAGAGCACGCGGATGCTGGGTGCCCCTCACGCCCAGACTCCCTGGGACGACGTGTCTGAGTCGGGGGAGGGGCTGTGAGGAGCCCCAGTCAGGCCAAGGACCTTGTGCCCCCCTGGGGGCGGTGGTGGGGCCAGCGGGTGCCCAGAGAGAGCACGTGGCCCCCCAGGGCATCGTCGGTCAGACGCTATGGGTTCCCCTCGGTGGGCAGGCAGGCATGCACCAGGGGACCCATCGCCCCCACGAACCACGTCGGCGTATGGATGGATGGGGGACACCTCCTGCCACAGGCAAGGTTGGGAGGGCAGCCTGGGGGGGGGCGGGGGGCCTCGCCGTGAGCTCCTGGGCCAGCTCTGAGCAGGACAGGTGGCCATGGGGCACGAAGGCCAGGGCAGAACTTAGCGGCCGGCAGACACAGCCCGCATCCAGCATGCAGGCTTCCCAAGAGAGGCCGAGCCAAACACTGCCCAGGGGCTGGCCTCCCGCTTTGCGACCCCCGGGGGGGCCAGAGCAGTGCCTGTGGAGGACGCCTGAGCCCCTCAGTGTGTAAGCAGCTTCTCGGGAGATGCTGGGTGGAAACACTGAGCTGGGAAACCGGGAGGCGGACATTCATGATTCTCCCTGCCGCCACACGGGGAAAGCTGGTGCTCAGAGCCGTCTACCCGTCAGCCCGTGGCCGCTGCACCGTGCCGGGAACCCAGCCTCCCCACGCCCTGTCCTCACCGCCGCGTCCATGTCCTTTTGGCTGTACTGCAGCACGTCCACAATGGACCCCACGGGCAGCGGCGGACCCCCAGGCCCAAAGACACAGGGAGGGGGGCCCAGCACCTGTGGGGGGGGCAGACCAGTTGGGCCAGGGAGGACAAGCCCTCAGAGGCCGGGGCCCCCCACCCTGTGCCAAGGAGCGGCTCTGCACTCCCCAGCGTGAAGTCAGACCCAAAACCGGGGAGGAGCACTTACGGGAGCATCTGGGGCTCCTAGGAAGTCAAGTTCCACTAGCTTCGCCTTGGGCGGGCTTCCTGAGGAGGGCACGGCCACGTCCTGTGCACTGAGACCGCAGAACGGGAGGTAAATGCACCCATTTTCCCCAAAGGCCGAGAACAACCTCTGTTACAACTGCTCGACTCCACCTCGTGGCTCTGCCACCGCGGTGCAAGCTGCCACCCAGCCACGTGCACCCACAAGGCCTTACTCATGAGGCCCAGCAAAGGCTGGCTCTGACCCACGGTCACTCCTCCTGCACCTGAGGGGCTCCAGAGAGCTCCGCTGGGGTCTACTTTTCTGAGGCGGAGTCACAAATGTCCCCACTTAGTCTAGAATAATCTCCAGTCGACGGCCACCGCCAGCCCGCCCGCCTGCACTAAGCCCCACGGCCAGAGGGGAGGCGTACCTGCTGGTCTCCAGAGCCATAGGCACTGGTCTCGGAGGGCTGTCCTTCAGGAGCGGGTCAAACTTGAGGTACAAGGACTGTTTCCTCAGGGCTGACTCCTTAAACTAAGGGGTGGACGAGTCAGCGGGTTCACCGTCACCTGATGGATGACGGCCCCGAAGGCTGGGCCTGGGGAGACCCCAGCACAGAGCAGTGTGCCCTTGAGCTCCCCTCTGCATGGGAGCTTGAGACGGGCAGCGTGAGACCACAGGTGCGGCTCTGGAAGGGGCCCTGGGGAGCCTCAGACGCCCGCCATAGCATGGACACCACTGGTGTGCGAGTAGGACCTTCATGATTTTGGAGGTGGGACAGTGGCTCAGGGCTGCTCTAGAAAGAGTCCCCTTTGGAGAAGCGTACTTTGGAAAAGACTGCCATGATGGTGCAGGTACTCACCGAGGAACTCCCAAACTGCTCCAGATAATCCACCTCGGCTCCTGTGCCTAGAACTAAGAGGGAGAGCGTCAGCGTGGCGGTCACCGACCCACAGGCGGCGGTCACCGACCCATAGGCAGTGCACTCTGCTGCTTGGCGCAGTGACCGGCAGCCCTGCCCGGAGCGGTGACCCGCCCTCTCCCGCCCACCCACCGGGCACCACCAATCCAGCCTCATGCTAATGACACCTGGGGCCGGGTCGCCTTGTGGGGCCGTCCTGTGGGCTGTCGGGAGAGAAGCAGCACCTCTCCAGGTGCGACAACCAAAAGTGTCCCAAGGGACCAAATCTCCCGGGCTTAGAGCTACTGTTTAAAATGGCCCTAGGGGCGCCTGGGTGGCTCAGTTGGTTAAGCGACTGCCTTCGGCTCAGGTCATGATCCTGGAGTCCTGGGATCGAGTCCCGCATCAGGCTCCCTGCTCGGTAGGGAGTCTGCTTCTCCCTCTGACCCTCCTCCCTCTCATGCTCTCTCTCATTGTCTCTCTCGCAAATAAAGTCTTAAAAAAAAAAAAAAAAAAAATTAAAATGGCCCTAGACGGTCCTTGAATTCCAGATCATATAAACTTCCACTTAAAAAAACCTAAGAATAGCTCACGTCATATATAAAAATTGACCCAAGATAAATAAAAAACCCAAATATAGGAACTACAACTATAACATTTTTAGAAAACGTAATGACAAATCCTCGTGTTATCACATTTGGCAAAGATTCTTAGACTTCACACCAAAAGCACAAAGAACAAAAGAAAAAAAAGGTAAACAGGACTTTAGGGTTAATATCTGTACTTCAAGGATGCCCCGGGGAGAGAGAAAGCCCACAGACCAGGAGACGTTCGTCACCTATCTGGTAAGAAATCCCTCCCTAGGATAGATTGGAAGTCCTTACAACCTGGTAACAAAAAGGCAATTCGGAGTCAAACAGCAGGGCAAAGGACCCAGCAGACGTTCCACAGAAGGTGTGAAAGGCACATAAAAAGCTGCTCGTCAGCAGGGAGACGCAGATCAAAATCCACGGAGGGGGCAGCGCCCGCCCATCCCACCCCCCCCCCGCACTGCTGGAGGCTGGAATCGAGGTCTCGGAGGCCCCCACGGAGCTGCCGAGGCCGTGGAGAGATCGGGACCTCGAACCCTGCTGCCGTGGGATCGTTACGTGGTGCAGCCGCTTTGGAGAGCAAGCTGGTGGCTCCTCAGCATCACCCAGAGTTACTGCGTGACCCGGAGTTCCCCTTCTAGGTTTATGCCCCAGGCCAACGAACACTCACGTCCACACAGACACGTGGACACGAATGTTCGCGGCAGTCTCACTGAGCAAACAACCCAGACGCCCATCAGCTGGTGAAGGGAAACGTTAGCTGTGGTCCATCCCCACGGTGGCAGGCTACTCGGCTGGGAAAGGAACGAAGCAGCGACATGCGCTACAAGGTGGAGGATCCGTGAGAACCTGACGTTCAGTGAGAGAAACCAGACCCGAGAACCGCCCGTGTGACTCTGGGGTCCCTGGGATCATCCTGCCACGACCCAACCCTGCACTCTGTTCCCAGGCTCCTCTCTGCCTGAAGATTAAGTAAGCCACATCGAGACCTTTCAAGTTGCCTGCTCTCTCAATTGCATCGTAGATTTTCCCTGGGAGCATCTCAGAGTCCGGAGGACCCCCATGTTGAAGGTCAGAGCTGTGTGTTCTCCGTCCGGACTCACCCTTCCATCAGGATCTCTCCACCAACCAACAAGGCCCCTGCCTCCTGTGTGTTTGCACAGAACCTTTCCCGAGTCTGATTTCCGGTCCTGGAAATCCCTACACCAGGGGTATGTCCTGAAAGCGTCCAAAGCCCCTGCGTGTCTTGCTTCAAGTCAGGGAACAAAGCTGCCTATGGGGCAGTCTCCCCGAAACACCACTGAACACCTCGGAAATCCTAGAAGACCTTCCAGAACCACCACCAGCTGGTGGGGACAGACAGGTGACCCGGGGACAACGTACCCTCAGCTGGGTCTCGGAAGTGCTCCTCCTCCGGCTCTGAGGCAGGCTCCGGGCCCCGCGGAGGAGTGGGGGGCGCAGGCTCACCGCCCGGGCTGCCCGTGGGAGCTGATGCACGGGCACAGTCCGCGGCTCCCTCCTGGAAGAAGGGCAGCTCAGTTCAGGCATCTGGTGAGGTCGAAGGTCCTGTGCAGGGCCCGTGCCGCGCCGTGTCCCGCCCGGTCTCCGCCGGCCGCCCTCCGCCCGTGTGCGCGCAGGACGACAGCACGGGCCGAGCCCGCCTCCATACCTTGCCGGCTGTGCCCGGGGTCCTGGCCGCGGTCTGTGCCAAAGGCGTGTCATCCGTGGAGGCTGAAGGTACCTGCCTGAACAGATGGGGTCAGCAGGGCCCGTGCCCCAGGGCCGAGCTGCCTCCTGCCCGTGAACCCTCGCCTCGAAGGTCAGGGGCTACGCTGGAGTCCCCAGCAGAGCCGTCCCTACCCACCCCAACTGCCCCAGGAGCAGGACCCTCCCAGGGGCCTCGGCAAGGAGCGCTCAGGCCGTTTCAGCTCAGAGAGCAAACCCCAAGGGCTCACTTGTCCTACTTCACCAGGAAACTGGCAAACGCGCCGGAGGGAGGGTCACCGGGGGCCAGGCAGGGCCAGTAGCGGGGAGGTGGCCTCCAGACCATCAGGGTGCACTCGTGGCTGAGAGCTGCCCATGTGAGCCCTTGGTGGCCGTGAAGCCGCCGTCCCCAGGCCACCACGAGAGCCTGGAGCACTGCAGCGAGTGCACAGAGCCACTCCACTGGCTTCGCAGCCGCGGACCGTGTTTGGAGATCTTTCTAAAGCTCCAGGTTTTTTATAGAAAACGCTCTTAGAAAGCATGGGGACGGAAAAGGGCGCCACTGTGTGCTTTCGCCCACCATTTCTCCCTAGCCCCCTGCAGCGGCTGTGAGCACCCTCCTCAGTCTTGGGACCCAGGACCGGCAGCTGCCCCCCCCCGGCCCCTTCTCTGGCCTGGGGTCCTCCGGCACGCACGCTGCTGAGCAGCTACCCCGCGCCACTGCCACCAAGTACTCACTGGCTCGGAGAGGAGCGCCCTGGGGCCTCGGGACCAGTACACAGCTCCTTGGCCACAGGCTCGGCTGGCCCGCTCTGGGGGCACTCTGGGGGCAGGGCCTCTCCTCCACCTTCAAATGGGTTAAAGTCTGGGTCCTCCAGCTTGTTCCAGTCCAGGTTGTAAGACCCCTGGGGAAGGGGAACGGGCCCCTCACCCGCCTCCTCGGGGGCCTTTTCCTGCCTCGCCTCTGACATCCTAGAGGGAGGTTTAAGGCCGGGTCTCTTCCCCAGTTCCCTCGGTGGGGGCAACGTTTTGCTGGTGGCACTGTCAGAGAAATCAAATTCTAGTCCTATGGGCCCACTGCTCCAAGAGCTGGCCCTCTGGCCATCAGCTTCTTTCTTCTGAGGACTTGGGGACGTGGCCCCTGCAGGCTTCAGAGGGCTGGCCAGGATGGTGTTCCCAGAACCAGAGGGGTCTTCAGGGCTGGCCAGGGCCTCGCCAGGCAGGTCTCTGAGGGGTCCTTCTTCACGTGCTCCTGTTGGGGGAGTACCGGGGGGCAGAGCAGCTCTGGCTGAGGAAGCAGGGACCTGGTTCGAGCTTTCTGTGGCAGCTCCGGGAGGGTCTTCTGTTCGGTGTTGGGGAGCCATCTGGGAAGGGTCTTCTAGGATTTCCGAGGTGAAGGTAATACTTTTTTCTAAGAAATGAGAATGAACACTTTCCTCCAGGGCATGCTCAGGGCTCACAGATGTTTGTCCTAGAGAAGCCACTTGATCTTCAAGAGTTTCTGGCATCTGGGGAGAGCTTGAGGGATCCAGGCCGGCCAGGTGAGCTGAGGTGGGCCCACTGGAATGCTGCCTATCTTCAGAGGCTGGTCTCACATCTGCTGGAGGGGGGTTGGCACTGGCCACCATTCGTTTCTGGAGAATTCCATTGGTCATTTTGCTGTCAACTTCCTTGGTGAACTGTTGGCTTTTCAGAAACAAACTTAGTTAACGCTAAGGAGCCTATTAGCTTTTTAATTAGAATTTAACCCCCGAGAAAACATTACCCCAAAACAGAAAAAAAGAATAGTCAATCCTCTTCCTAGGACTAACTTTCACAAGTAAATCCTCATAAATCAAAACTAGTGGACCAACTAGATCACGCAGGTTTCCGAGAGAGCGGAAACATGACACGTAATTACAGTTAAGGTTTTCTCTGCTTGCCTATTTCCCCCTTTCAATTGGGGACCACCAGCTACATAATCCGGGGCACAGGAGGATCAAGGTTTTCACTGAAGAGAAAGACAAGCTTGAGAGCTCTTGAGAACCCCAAGGCTGACTTGCAAACAGAAAGGAGACCCCAGTGGGTATGAAAAAAGAAACCTAACCACAAAGCATCCTTCCTTGGGAGACGTGCTCAGACGTTTCATGAAATTAGAGAAACAAAAGCCAGGCCAATGTGTTGGCAAAAGCACAGTAAAGGACTGGGGCATAAAACTTAAACTTATTTGGGGTGCCTGGGTGGCTCAGTCAGTTGGGCATCTGACTCTTGGTTTTGGCTCAGGTCATGATCTCAGGATCGTGAGATTGAGGTTCTCTTTCTCCCTATGCCCCTCCCCACTCGTGCTCTCTCTTTACAAGTAAGTAAAAAAATCTTAAACAAAAAAACTTATTCTACACATTTTGTTAACTGCTTTTCTACTAATAAGTGGCTTCTAATGCGAGCATGCCGGGCAACACAGCGCATGACCTCAGAGCAGAAACCAGGAGGAACCCGACCAGATGTGACTAACGACAAAACAGAATTTTTCTGCCGTGTCCGCTGGAGACATTACAAATTACAGTGCATCAAGCATCAACACTTACTTCTGTTTCTGGGTCCGGTTTTGAGGAGAGTTTTCTAACCCAACAGCATCCTCCAGAGCAAAAGGAGCCTCGAGCTTGCTGCTCATGCTAGGACTTAATATCCGGTGCGTCTGTGGGTCCCGCAGAGGAGTCTGAAAAGTCACCTGTTGGGGGAGGAGGAGACCTGTTCGATAATTCAAGTCTTCAACCACTATGGCGGCAGTGCCCTGCCCACTTCCGTAAGTCCCCAGGAAAGCAAGTCCCAGAGTGACCTAATGAGTGACACACAGTAGATTTACACGGGCAAAGTTTGCTTACTTTCATAGCCTTGAGTACACTCTTGGGTGGCACATTTTCTTTCTGTGACAGACGAAGAACAGATAGTCTTCCGGTAAGTTCCGGTGGTGAAAACAGGAACTCGCAGTTTTCTGCACTTTTGTCACCACTGACGTTTTCATCACTGTAGATCTGCAGACTCATTCTGGAAAAGCAGACAGTTTACGTCAGTACGAGGGCTGTGCAGTCTGGATGAAGAGCCAGGGCAAGGAGCTAGCCTCACAGGGCAGATGTTCCCTTCCTGCACAGATGGGTCACATCTCAGGCAGCATGTCCTCTGCCAGGCAGTCCTTGTCCTGTTTTAGGGCAGCTGCCACCTCCCAGGACAAAGAGCCATAAGGGCCTTCAGCCCACAGGACAAGGGAGAAGAATCAGGTCCTCAAAACAATTTGAACTTGGGGCACCTGGGTGGCTCAGTCATTAAACGTCTGCCTTCGGCTCAGGTCATGATCCCAGGGTCCTGGGATGGAGCCCCGCATCGGGCTCCCTGCTCGGCGGGAAGCCTGCTTCTCCCTCTCCCACTCCCCCTGCTTGTGTTCCTGCTCTCGCTGTGTCTCTCTCTGTCAAATTAATAAAATCTTAAAAAAAAAAAAAAAATAAATTTGAACTTAGTGGGTAAAGGTCAGGAGACAGGGGTGCTGGCCTGTCAGAAAGCCTGGGTCTCCCCTCAGGCCTCCGCTGAAGGTGCTGAGGCCACAGCCCAGAGGGAGCAGGTTGCCAAGTTAGCCGAGAGCAAGAAAGCAGAAGGGTGCTGTGGCCTGCTCTTCCGTCACAGGCCAGGAGAGGAGCACACTGGGGCATCGTGAGGGCCGAGGCCCAGAGGAAGAGCGGCACAAGGCAGCAACCGGCAGATCCAGAATTACTTGGTGGGGAGTTGAAAAGCTTCTACACTGAGATTTGGAGTCTAGAAATATATACCAGCGGCCTCCACTGAGACCCAGAAGGTTCTAGAACAGCCCCCACCCCTTTCCCAAGGTCCTCATGATGGTCGCCAGCATGACATTCCCAACCCAGGAGTCGCCGGAGGGCCTGTCCACGGGAACATCACAGGTATTTGCTGGTGGTGGGGGTGCTTGAAGAGCAAGGCCGGGTGGCAGGGGCAGGAGGAACAAGGGTGCCCCGGAAAGAGGTGAGTCAGGGTAACAAGACGCCCTGGAAGGTATGGGGGTGGGGCCGTGTGTGCGGAGGCCAGGGAAGGCAGGGGGGAAGCGGGGGTCAAAGACTCCCGCAGCCAGCCAGGGGTGGAGAGAGCAGCCCTGGCTTGGCCAGCGGGCCCACAGGCATCTGGAAGGCGGAGAGAAACAAAAGGGCGACTTTTAGGGTTTTGCCGCGAACGCTGGGTAAAACGGGAAGGGACAGCTGGACGGCTGTGGGATACACGAGGGAGGGGGCCTGGGGGACACCTTTCCGCAGTCCCTCTCCTGAGGAAGGTGGGAGAACAGCCGTGGCCGGCTCGGTCAGCTCTGGCTCCCACGGACAACGGGGAGAAGGCTCCCGAGCAGAGGCTGCAGGCCAGACAGCCCAGGGCGCGAAGGCCCGGGCCTGCGCGCCGAGCAGCTGGGGACAATCAGCAGGACTCAGCGATGGCTCGCAGCTGGGGCGTGGAGAAGGCAGCACGAAGCTGCCCCCGGGAGGGCTGGGGAGCGGGCCGCGGATGCAGCTGGCGTCCGAGGCGGGACGGTCACCGCGGACCGGGCCGCGAGGGGCCCTGACACACCGACCTCCCGGGGGCCGACAAGGAGACCGAGGAGGAACCGCTAAGGCAGGAGCCCCCCCCCCCCCCCCGGCGTCTCCGCCCACGGGCTGCGGCCGCAAACCAGCGGGGCCCGCGGGCCGCCGGCGACCCCGGCAGGAAGGCGCCCCGGGCAGGGCGGCCGCAACAGCCGGCGGGGTGGGCCCAAGAGAGCAGGGGCGCTGTGCGGACGGCGCGCCCCGGAGCCGCGCAGAGGCAGGAGGGCCCGTCAAGGGCGGGCGCCGCCCAGCCGCCGCGGGGGTCGGGAGCCGGGGCGCGGAGCCCGAGGCCCGGAGGCTGGAGGAGGAGCTGGGGACGGATGCCCGAGCCCGGGACCCCGCCGCCGCCGCCGCCGCCGCCGCCTACCTGCCGGCGGCCACACGAAGCCGAGGGAGCGGGAGGCGCCGAGTCCGGGAGCCCGTCCGCCCGCCGCCGATTCAAATACCGACGGTTGGAGCGCGCGGCCAATCAGCGCGCGCCGGGGGCGGGACGCACAGGGCGCCGGCGGCTCCGCTTCCGGGGAGAGGGGCGCGCTGGGCGCGGCGGGCGCCGGAAGCCATCGGAATCCCGGCTCGCCGAGCTTGCGGCGGGGGCGGGGTCTGCCGGGGACGCGACTGGGCTGCGCGGAAGGGCCAGGGCCTGAGAGCCATTGGCCCGGGCCTCGGGCTCCCCGGTTGTAAAATGGGACCAGCTGCAGCCGCCCCTAAGGCGGGTCGTGAGATGGAGCCGAACCCTCGCGAGGACTGGCGCGGCCTCCGCGCTTCTGGCTGTGTGCGGGACGCGGCAACTCCGTTTCCCAGGGTGCCCCGCGTCGATGTGACGTCTCCCAGCGCGCCCCACGCCGGCCTGCGGGCGGGACGCCGTCTCCCAGAATGCCCCGCGGGCGGGGACACCAGCTCCCAGGGCGCCCCGCGCCGGCCTGGCGCCCACCTGCCGCCGCCCAGCGGCTTGGCATTCTCGGTCTGTTTCCCGTCGGGGGCTGCGGGACTCTGTCCGACGGCTTCCTGGCGGCCGCGGCAGCGCGATGGACAGCCCGGAGGTCACCTTCACGCTGGCCTACCTGGTGTTCGCCGTGTGCTTCGTGTTCACGCCCACCGAGTTCCACTCGGCCGGGCTCACGGTGCAGAACCTGCTGTCGGGCTGGCTGGGCAGCGAGGACGCCGCCTTTGTGCCCTACCACCTGCGCCGCACGTCCGCCACGCTGCTGTGCCACTCGCTGCTGCCGCTCGGTGAGCAGGCCGGACCCTCCGCCAGAGGGTCCTCGGGGCGCGGCACCGGCCTGTGGCCCCGCGGGCTCGCGGCCGAGTTCCGGGACCCAGAAGTGAGAAGAGTCGGGGGAGGGCGCGCGGACCCCCGGTCGTTCCGAGTTGAGGAGAGACGCTGGCTCCGAGAGCCGCGGCTGTGGACTAACAGCCCCCGCGCTCTAGACGGGCCTCTCGCGTCCGCGGCTCCCGAGAGCGGAGAGGAAGGTGCTGGCGGCAGGTGGCTGCTTGCAGGTGGCAGAAATGAAGGCTTAGAATCTTGGGGGGCGGGCGAAGGGGATGATGCTTCGCCTAGCTGGGGCAGGGCATTTTGTGGGGGCAGTTCGCAGGAGAGCGGCATGAGTTAACTGATTCTAACGGAGGTGGAGGGACCTGGGAGAGCAGGGGGCCTGTCCCAGGCTTTGGAAGGTGGGTGTGAGAAAGGAGGCGGAGATGGGTAACCCCACGGGGGTGTCACAGGTGCAGAGGTTGGGGGGGGGCAAAATGCTCACACGTGGCCCAGCGGGTGCTCCTGGCCTCTGAGAGGCTGGTTTGTCAGCTGCTTGGACAGGGGACTGGCTGGAAAGAGGGGTACTAGGTGTGTGTGTGTGTTCTCTGGAGGATACAGAACAGAAGCAGGTCTAGAAGGGCAGGTGGCTGCTGGGCCCCGGTCGCTGGCTCAGTGGACTCAGGAGTTTCCAGCTGTCGGCAGGGCGCAGCAGCCTGGGCCAGGTGTGGAGAGACTCCTGGAGGGGGCTGGGCTGAGGCCAGGTCTGTGCAGGAGGGTTGCCTGCCCATGCGAAGAAGGACACAGGGCCTTCTTGGTGGCAGTCTGGTGGTCTCCTTGGCCAAGTGGTTTCTTCCTGCTGTTGGGGTAACTATGTGGCTTTCTCAGCCTGAGGCCCCATCACCCCGGTAAGGCAGGGTTACCAATTAGCTGATTCCTCAGATGAGGAAAGTGCGGCTTGGAACTTGGGCTCCTGAGAGGATTGTGGGTTGGGTTTCTGCCCTGGGAACTAAGGGTCCCCACAGCCTTCTGGAGTCCTTTTAGCCACATCTTTTCTAAAAGCCCGTGAGTGGCTGGACCATCACCATGCTACACATGGACAGAGAAACCAGAACTTAGGGAGCTCAGAGACTCATAAAGGTGGAGGAGCCTGGCCTTGTGGCCAGTCCTGGGGTCTTTCTCTTCCTTTTCAACTTGTTTTGAAAAGTTTTGAAACTTTTGTATGCATGTTATTTACCGCTGCAAGATAAATTACCTGAAATGTGGTAACTTGATCAACAGTAAATGTTTACTATTACTTTGCAGCCTTAAATGAGCTCATGCAGCGTCAATTGTTCAGATATGCGGATTGCCCTGATCTGGCCAGCAGGGGCCCTGGAGTTATGGTGTTCCCCATTGTTCGGTGCTTACTGTTTGGCACACAAATCTGAGCTCTGGGATGGGTCACACTCTGATTTGCCTCCTCAGAGGGGGTAGGGTTGAGAGGCCAAGATCCCGCCCCTGGGAGGGCCAGTGTGTAGCTCTGCTTTGGGTGACACCAGATCCTTGTTTTTGTTTTTTGCGTTTTTTTTTTTTTTTTTTTTTTTTTAGGTTTTCCTATTCCGGTTAATCATGTATTACTCGTATAAAACTGAAGTAGTAAATTAAAAACGTCTTTTTCTCATTTATTGTATTACTGTTCTGGGCAAGGGTTGAGCTGGGTCAGCGTGGAGGCAGGTAAAGTGCACTTGCCCTGGGGTACCGTTGCCTGGCCCTGAGAGCTGACCAGGGTGGCCCTTGGTGGGCAGTATGGGGGGAGAACAGTGGCCTGGCAGTCCTGATTTCTGCTGAAGCCCTCCCCATCCTTTGTAGGCTACTACGTGGGCATGTGCTTTGCAGCTTCAGAAAAGCAGCTCTACTCCCTCGGCCAGGCCCCAGAGGCCTGGCGGCTCTTCCTCCTGCTGGCAGTGACTCTGCCCACCATCGCCAGTACGCTGATCTACTACTGGTCCTGTGATCAGTGGGCCCGCCACCCGCTGGCCCGCACCCTGGCCCTCTACGCCCTCCCGCAGTCAGGCTGGCGGGCTGTGGCCTCCTCAGTCAACACTGAGTTCCGGCGGATCGATAAGTTTGCCACAGGGGCACCAGGGGCTCGTGTGATCGTGACGGACACGTGGGTGATGAAGGTAACCACATACCGTGTGCACGCGGCTCGGCAGCAGGATGTGCACCTGACCGTGACGGGGTCACGGCAGCACGCGCTCTCAGCGGACTCCAGCCTGCCTGTGCAGCTCCTCACCATTCACGTGGCCAGTGCCAGCCCTGGCGTGCGGGCCTTCGACATCCGGTAGGTATGCTTGTGGCCAGGGTCACAGTGAGGCTGGGGTGTGCCGGAGGCAGCCAGCAGTCAGGTTCTAGTCTTGGGCTCTTTGGGAGGCGATGACGCGTGCAGCACGTTCTTCTCGGCACCCTTCCAGCGGAACCCTCCCTCAAGGCCCCTTGTCCCCTCACACCCCCATAGGTGCTCTCTGCTTCTGCTTTCTCTGTGTTCTCCTTTGAGCTGCCTTTTGCAGCTCTTTTCAGGGGAGCATGTTAGGGATGTTTTGGGGGGTGGTACAGGACTGAGGCTTGGTGGCTGTCTTGGCTTTGGGGCCCAAGCCGAGGTCTTCCTGTCCCATTCAGGCTTCGGACAGCCTGTTGTCCCTCTTCTGTGATCCCCTTTGTGCCTGAACTTGTTGAAAGCCAGGCATTCTGTGTCACAGCTGCAGTCTCCCCACTCTCTTTGCCCCTCCCTGCATCCCTTGAGGGCAGGTGGTCGGTGCTCATTCTGTGGGCTCTGGCTTCAGGGCTGTCTTTGCTGGCTGGTCTTTATCAGGCGACTGGGCTGTGCCTGGGCTCCCAAATTCTGTGTGGTGTGGGTGCCCTGTCACTCTAGGCACCTCGGCATCCCCACCAGGAATGATGGCCCTGCCCTGCAGAGGGGCCTCGGTTCAGTGGCCCCAGCCCAGCAGCCCCCACCTTGTGCAGGCTGAACTCCACGGAGTATGGTGAGCTGTGTGAGAAACTCCGCGCACCCATCCGCAGTGCGGCCAACGTGGTCATCCATCAGAGCCTGGGCGACCTGTTCCTGGAGACGTTTGCTTCCCTGGTGGAGGTCAACCCACCCTACTCGGTCCCTAGCAGCCAGGTGAGAGCTGGGGGGGTGGGGCAGGTGGGTTCCCACAGGCCAGGCCCCCTGAGTCGGGGGGGCACAGGGCCGTCTGGCCAGGCTCCCTGTGACCCTCTACCCCCGCCCATAGGAGCTGGAGGCATGCATTGGTTGCATGCAGACCCGTGCCAGTGTGAAGCTGGTGAAGACCTGCCAAGAGGCAGCTGAGGGCGAGTGCCAGCGGTGCTCCTGTCGCCCCATGTGGTGTCTCACCTGCATGGGCAAGTGGTTTGCCAGCCGCCAGGACCCCCAGCGCCCTGACACCTGGCTCGCCAGTCGCGTGCCCTGCCCCACCTGCCGTGCACGCTTCTGCATCCTGGATGTGTGTGCCGTGCGCTGAGCCTGCTGGCTGGAGCAGGGGAGTGGCCTTGGGGGTCCCAGCGAGCCCTGCTAGGCACCGCACAGCCACCATGAGGAGCAGCCGGGGCTCTAGGCCCTCATCCGTGTTGTCAGCCAGGGGTTCTTTCCCCAGCATGATGAAGGACGAGGGTTTTTGTTTAAAAGGGAAGTTTTCTTCTGCAGCAGTGTCACTGGGATGGGACTTCAGTGCCTCCGCCTCCTTTGCTTCTTGTTTCTCCAGGTGGGGGTAGGTGCTGGACCTGGAACACGGTATGGGGTGGGGCCCGTTTCCAGAGCATTGTGAGGCTACCTGGGCTGTCTTCTGGAGACCAGGGATCTGCCCCCATGGCCCTACCCTGAACCACTTGCCTTAATTTTGTGTAACACACCTGCCTTTCGGTTACATGCCAGACCCAGGTTCATCCAAACTGGTTGCAGTCTGTCCTCCAGGCTCCTGTCTCCAAGCTGGCTGCTGGCTCTGTGCTGTTGTGTCCCCTTTGCATCCCACCAGGCGGCTCTGAGGGCTGGGGGAGAGTCTGGCGGTGCAGAGAGAGACTGGGGTGCCACTGCAGGGTGACAGCACTGCCTGGGGCTTCCTGGGTGGGGTGGCCCCCACCTGCTCTGTGGCCCTGGGAGATCCTGGACTTGCTGTTAGGGGCTGGCTTCTCTCAACTCCTATTCTTTAGCTGCATGCTTGTGGGGGTTGCCTATCTCCTGGAGGGCATGCACCTCCGTGCCTGCTGCTGCCCGGTGAGTCCAGAGAAAGGCCAAGCCCGACTCCCAGCCAGAGGGGATACTGCGCGGAAGACAGCGACAGACCACATGCAGACAGACTTGGGACACGGCACAGGGCTGGCCACAGCTCTGTAGGGTCCACCTGGGTCAGCAAGTGATGTGCCTCTTCCCAGTTCCCGGTGGCACATCTGGGAGGGCGGTAGCAGCCGGGCCATGAGGCCCCGCTCTGACCGATGGGGTTGCTGGAGGGGGCCCTCGTATTTGTAGCTCTAAGCCCCCTGAGCCCGGCTGTTCGAAGCAAGGGTGATGGACCCGGCCGGCGTGACTCGCCCGAGGCCGCACCGACGCCCAGGGGTTTGGGAGCTCGTGGGCCGCCAGGGTACCCGCAAACGAAGGCCATCGGAGGGGACGGCGAGCCCAGCCTCCGCGCAGGGTTTCAGGTGCCGCCGAAGGACTGAGCTGGGCTATTTTTACTACAAAAGAAAGTTATTTAGTTTTATGAAGACAAATTTATTGTGTCTGAGCGATGCGGTATTTAATAAAAGTCTGAAGTACATGCTGGAATGTTTTGTTTTTCCTGATACTCGAACTGGCAACGGGGAGGAGCCGAGTGGGCAGTAACAGCACTGCGCCCACTCCGTCTGCACGGAGGAGGGAGGCGGGCGCTGCGGCAGCGGCAGCCGCGGCCGCACGACGGCGGTCTCACCAGGCCCGGGGCTCCGGCGGGAGCGGGCCTGGGGCGCTGCGGGAGGGGCGGCGGGCCCGCGGACGGCGGGCAGGGGTCGGGAGCCGGAGGCGACCGAGCTGACGGCCCCGAGCTCCAGCGCGGCGGGGAGAACCGGCAGGGCCGGCGGCTGCGGCCGAGGCCCGGCGCGGCGCCCCCCGCGGCCTCGCCTTCCGGGTTCCAGTTTCCCGCCTGCGCAGAGCCCGCCCCCGCGGGGCCGGCCAACCGGAGGCCGTCTCGCCGGCCGGCCGGGTCTCGGCCCCTCCGGGCGCCTGCGCCGCGCGCGCGTCCGAATCTCCCGCCAAAGCCCCCCCCGCCCAGCCCGCCGGGGGGCCGCAGCGCCGGCCGTCCGCACGCCGGGAGGGGCAGCCTGTCCTCGGGCCTCTCCCGCCCGGCCACACGCGTCGGCCCGCCGCCCCCCAGCGGCAGCGGCGGGGCCGCGGCCTCGCGCGCCGCCGCCCGCCCCCCCGCCGGCCTGGGCCCGATGGTCTCGCCCGGCGCGGCGCGCGCGGGAGCCGGGGGGCGGGGCCGGCGGCGCATAAAGGCGGTTGGGGGCGGGGCGCGCGCGCAGAGCCTGTCGGCGCCGGCGCGGGACGAGACGCCGCCGCCGCCGCGGCCGCCGCCGGCCCGGACCCCCGCCCGAGGACCCCCGCCGCCGCCGCCGCCGCGCTCGCCATGGCCTGCCGGCCGCGAAGCCCCTCTGGCTGCGGGAGCCGCCGCGACGGCGACGCCAGGTGAGGCGGGCCGCGCGCCCCGGGGCTTCCGGGCGGGCCGGGGTGGGGTCCGCGGGCGGGCGCCCGGGGCCTCGCGGCTCGCCTCGCGTCTGACGCCGCTTGTCGTCGGCAGCGCGCCGCCCCCGACGAGAGGGAGCCTCGGACGCAAGCGCAGAGCCGACGGGCGGCGCAGGAAGCCCGAGGACGCCGAGGGCCCCGCGCAGCCGGCGGGCGACGGCCGGCCGGACAGGTGGGCCCGGCGCGTGGCGCGAGCGTGGGGCCGCACGTTGAGCTGGCTGCGGCGCCCGGCGGGAGGGTCCTATCCCGGCTGCTTGGCGCGCCTGGGGACCCCCCACGCGGCCGGCTAAGGCAGTCTGGGCGCCCCGCCTGACCGGTTAGGGCGCCCGCGGGGGCCCCAGCTGCTGGCCAGGGTACCTAGGGTCGCCCCCCGAGTTGCTGAGTCTTCCGGGGAGGTTGGTTAGGGTGCCTTGGTCGTCTCTGCCCGCAGGTTGGGGCGCCCAGGGGTCCCCAGCGCTTGGGGGTCATCACCTGCCTGGTCAGAGCGGCTGAGCGTCACCACCCTGCCGGTTAAGCTGCCTGGGGGGCCCCCACCCATCTGTTAAGGCACCTCTGGGTTACCGCCCGGCTGGTTGAGGCACCTCGGGAGCCCGACGTGACTGGTTAGGGTGTCCGTGGGCCCCCGCCCTACTGTTTATGGTAGCTGTGGGTTGCCCCCGACCGTTTGGGGTGTCTGTGCTCCGCGTCAGTTGACTAATTCAGGTGTCGTGGGTCACCGCACTTGGTTGCTCGTGGCGCCTGAAGGTCGCCGTAGCTGACTTGTTAAGGCGCCTGAGCCTCAAACGCTTGGCTGATTCACGGCGCTCGTATCGTTAAGGCACCAGCGTGTCCCAACGTGACTAAGGTAGCTGAGGATCCCACGAGAGCCTCTGGTGACAGGTGTGCGCAGAAACTGGCCTCGGTCGCTGTGAGTCTGCTGTGCTTTAGGGACGGTGGGGGAGGCTGCCGTGAGCTCTTCAGGATGTTGTGCCTCAGGGGAGTCCTCTTAGAGAAGTTCCCACCACAGCCAGAAAAGGTGTCTGAACGCCAGAGTGCAAGTGCGGGTGCAAGTTGCAGCCTCCTCTTTTCATCCCGGTGCCGCGGGTGCTTCGTGAGGAGCCTTCCCTGTGGTCTTCACGCCGGCAGTTTCCGGGTGGGGTCGTGTGCTCCCTGTGCCTGTGCTCTGACGGGGGTGGCTCAGCTAGTCAGGGTATTTCAGAGGGACAGGGAGCGGCTGAGGAAACCAGGGGCCGGTGGGGAAGGCCAGTGTGTGCTTCAGAGGCCACAGTCAGGGAGACCTCTGTTGGCGACCCTTGTGTGGACAGGGGGTGCCAGGGATGTGGTCGCCCTGGTGGCCTACGTGCCCTTAGCTGGGGATGTGTTTGGCCTGTCTGAAGCCTGACTAGCGGAGGACTAGGGGGGCGTTCAGCTGGAAGGGGAGGTGGGGAGGAATGTGTGGTGCACGTTAGACTTTTTAAGGCCGTTCTTGTACTTGTTGGTGGGTTGAGGGGGATTCAGAGAGGAGTCTGGGATGACTCACGTGTTTCACTCTGAGCACCTTTGTTCCTTGGGGAACCGTTTGCCAGGATGGAGAGGGTGGGGGTAGAGCAGACCTGGCATGGGGAAGGAGGCAGTAATTAATGAGGCCTGAGTGTGGATGCGGAGGCTGCCCACGTTCTGCACGATGAGACCTCGCTGCGTACAGTTAATTTTAAAGATCTGGGGCCAGAAGAGATACTCGGGAAGAGACGCTGAGTGTGGGAGAGCGCCTGGACAGTGTTAGAGCTGGATGTGAAGAGAAGCGGTGAAACACCACGGAGATCAAGGTCTGAGTCCCCCGGTGGTCTCCTGCTTAGCTGAGAAGAAAACGTTAAATCCTTATATTGCCTTAAAAGTCCTTTGTATCCCCATGGGTACTCCTCTGGCTCAGCAGTTAGCCCCTTGGGCCTCCTTACTCACCTAACGTGGCAGAAAGCCCGTGGCTGCTGCTCGTCGCCCCGGTCCGCCGTGCTGATGCGTGGGGGATGCATACAGGTGCCTGCAGTAGAGCCAGGTGCTTTTCCATCTGGGGTGTGGGAGGTGGTTCCTGTGCAGGCAGTTAGCTCGTTGTACGGAGTGGGCTTTGTTTTCCGTTCAAGCACTTTGCCTGAATGTACTCTTGTCCTAAGGTCGGATAGGTTGGTGAGTACGACTCGCTTAATCTAGAAAGTTGGCTTTAGTTCTACGAAAGGTATTTTCCGTTATTCTACCAAAATACGTGATGTAGTGGCAGGTCATTTGTAAGCTCCTTTTAAGAGTTCAGCAGTCTCATGGCCCAGGCCTTAGCCTCTTGGTCCGCGAGTGATGACATTGAGGTCCAGCTCTGGACAACCTTGCATTTGGTTCCTCTCTGTATCTGGGATACAGTTACTGAGTCATACTGACTTTTGGTTCATTAAGTTGACTTCAGACCTTGCCAATCATTTTTAGATTCTGGAAATTTAGTTTTAGAAATCTAGTTTTAGTTTTTTTGGGTGAGGTAGCTGTAAGAGAAGAACTATGGTAATTGCACACAGGGATCATTCATTTGTTATTGCAGTTGCATTTTCAAAGCGTGCCGTGTGGTTTGCAGCTGGGGTGCATCCGGTTGCCTAGAGTGGCAAATGAAGTTGTGTCTAGGATGCATCAGCGGTGACCAGTAGAAAATTGAGGAGGAAAAATAAAATTCCATTTATATCTAATCTACAAATAATAGACATACCAACAATTCTGACTGCAAGAATTCTTGTCATTAAGCCTTTTTCAGATTGCCTGCCTTTTTTTTTTTTTTTTTTTTTTAAGATTTTATTTGTTTGAGAGAGAGAGCGAGAACATGAGCAGAGGGGAGATGCAGAGGCAGAGGGAGAAGCAGGCTCCCCAAGGAGCAAGGAGCCCGATGCAGGACTTGATCCCAGGACCCTGGGATCATGACCTGAGCCGAAGGCAGATGCTTAACCGACTGAGCCACCGAGGTGTCCCTTGACGAAAGGTTTCCTTGATCTCTGGATTGAACTGGGCTCCTAGTTTACACTTAGCCCAACTCTAAGGGGTGCTGTTACCAGTACACTAAATCCTAATGTAGCAGGGACTCCCATGTATATTCCTATTTCCCTATTTTAATTAGGTGATATATTCTGAATAGTTAATTACGTGCATTTAAAAGTGAACAGTAGCCACCATTTATTAAGTACTTTTTATGTGCTGGTCACTTTGCTTAGTATGAAGTGTTATTTAATTCTTCTTTAAAATACTGAAAAATAGTCTATTTCGTAAATAAAAGACCAAGTTGTGTTAGGCACTATTGTCTGTGCTGAAGATGGCTTGTTGACTTGGCCTTCCCCCCAGTGGACTGTTTCCTCATGATCCAGCCAACACTGGCACATGGTGGGTGCTTACAAGCTCGACAGATGAAGCCCAGAGAGGCTTGAAGTGAATTGCCCAAACTCAGGGAGCGAATAAGCGATGGAGCGTAGAGTATCCTGGAGCCCATGGCACTCTGCAAGCAACATCTGAGCATCCCCTGGTGTGCTGCTTGGAAGGACACTGAATGTAGGTGCCGTGGTTCAAATGCACGTTTTTGTTGTATTGCAGTTTTACCACTCCTGAAGGCCCGAAGCCCCATTCTAGATGTTCAGACTGGGCAAGTGCAGTTGAAGAGGATGAAATGAGGACCAGAGTTAACAAAGAAATTGCAAGGTATACATCCCAGACCTTTGTGAAGCATTATCCTTGGTGTTTCTTATCATATGTTAGCTTTGAGGTATGTGTTAGAAGGATGATTCTTCAGAGTCTGGTCCCCATCCCAGCAGCATTAGCAGGGCCTGAGCACTTGTTAGAAATGCCCATTCTCAGGCCCCACCCCAGGCCTCCTGAATGGGAAACTCGGGGTGGGATCCAGCCATGTCTTAAAGAAGCCGTCCAGATGAGCCTGCTCACTGAAGGCTCAGGACTACTACTGTCTTAGTGGCCATCCATCCACCATGGCAGGAGGTGGGAAGATGGTACTACCATGATGTGCTCTAACCTACCACATTGGATTCTGCCACCCCAGCAAGCTGTGTGGCTCTCTCTTTAGATGGGGAGCGCACTCTTGTCTGACACCTGGTTCAGGTAATAGCTCGGGAGTGGGAGAGCACAGGGGGGGTCCCCTTGCAGCTGTACCCAAAATTGTTGTGTATATCCAGGTTTTCCCAAACTCTAAGCCACTGCCTCGACTCATTATGGTTCAGATGATGCATCCTTAAGCACTGCTTCTCTCTCTTTGATTACATTCTCTCTGGTATTTTTGCGTTTTTCCTTCCCTTTGAAATATTCCATCCAACCCAGCTGATTGAGCTTTGAGTTAAAATGCTGTGGCTCATAATCAGTTGGAGTATGTTGAACCGAGTCCATTGGTTCTTAATTCTTATGAGAAAATGTGTCCTCTCAGCAGGGAAGCAGGGCCAGATTGCCTGTTTCACCTCTGCAGTGGTTGATGGTATTTATAGCTGCCTCCTTAGGAAAAGCACAGGCACATGTGGGGGTTAGTTAGGACCACTCAAAGGGCTGCTTTAATTTATTTTAGGCATCAAAATATATGTGTGTGGGTGGGCGGTGTGCCTGGTTAGAAAAGTGAACTGGAAGTTCACAGACGTGGGCTCCTCCAGTGTTTTGAATTCGTTGTTTTATTCATATAGACGTCAGTTTTCCCAGCTGTAGAGCTAGGATGTTTGATTTGGTCTGTGTAGTTTCTGTGTTCCGCTCCCAAGGCTTATAACAGCTCTTCTCACATACCTATGTGTCCTGACCCTTGCCAGGGACTATCTGCAGATCTCATGCTATGTATGGAGACCCCTCTCTGTCTTTTTTTTTTTTTTTTTTTTTAAAGATTTTATTTATTCATTTGAGACACAGATACAGAGAGAGCGAGCGAGCGACAGCATGAGCAGGGAGAGAGGGAGAGGGAGAAGCAGGCTCCCCGCTGAGCAGGGAGTCCGATGCGGGGCTCGATCCCAGGACGCCGGGACCATGACCTGAGCCGAAGGCAGACGCTTAACCATCTGAGCCACCCAGGCGCCCTGACCCCTTTCTGTCTTGACCCTCGTTTGATGGACCCCGCTTTATTCCTCGGTTGTCCCACAGGCCTGTCTCCAAAAAGTGTTCTTTGCAAAACAGTCCTGCTCTATTTTGGGCCACTCTGCCAATCACACCCTTCCTGATGGAAGGCTGCTGCTTTAGTAAGACCCAGGTGGTTTGACCTGCTGCTGATGGTAGTCTGCCTTTTTACCAGAATTTAGTTCACTGTACTTCAAGGAGGATAATACACACTACACACCAGCTGTCTGAAAATTGGAAAATGGGTTTTAGCCATACTAGAAGCCAGTCTTTTTCAGCTGGAGTCCCTGAGAGAATGAAGCCCTACAGAAAGGGGTATTGAGGGCCTGCTTTCTCCGTTCGCATGGGCTGGTATAGAATCGGCGCTTTTCTAGATACACAGGAAACAAACTCATTCATTACTTCCTGGTGTCCAAACTCCTTGGTGCCTCAGCAGACTTGGGGCCTGGCACTTTGGGAAGGAGACACAGTAATATATGACATGTTTTAGACACATGAACTTTTAGCTTGAGATGGTTCATGGTTTCAGTGTTAGATCGAGCTACACTCCTTTGGCTGATGTACCTTGGCAAAGCGGGGTTTTGGTAGTTGCTGTGATGGAAATCAATGAGGAACAAGACTGGGGGCTGGTGTTCAGTCTCTTTGCAAGATTGGAGAAAGCGAGCACAACCCAGTAGGCACACACGTAAGTAATTGTGGTATTAGAAATAAAAACTGTTTATCTCAACTTCACATTTTTTTTTTTTTTTCCCCGAAAGTGGATCTCACTACTTAACCTGACGCTGTTAGGGGCTTTTTTTGGCTTAGAGAATTTCCATTACATATGGTGGTACCCAGGGTCATTGAGGTGGTTGTTTACTCACAGGGCCTGGCTGCTCTAAGCACTTCGTATGAGCTTGGCCTGTAACACCTTCTTATGAGAGAAGGTGACTGAGGGAGATTGAAAATAAACGGAACCACTGTGCTGTTACCCTGATTCACTCACCAGACCACACTGCTCAGGGAGAAGGCCTGACCTCCGGGGGCTGTCTTAAAAGCATTGTCTTCAGTTAATTTCTATACCTTTCTAAAACAGCAATGTTTATTTTGCTCTCAGATATAAAAGAAAACTCATAAATGACTTCGGGAGAGAGAGAAAATCCTCATCAGGAAGGTAAGTGCCATGTAAATGTTTCTTCTCTAATTTGATAGGCCTGTCACCCCCTAGTGGGAAGAATTGTGCATGGGATGCTGGTTTCTCAGCAGCTTGTGCTGCCTGGTCCTTTCCTCCCTGCTTTGGAATTTGTACTTTTTATGTACTACATTCCCATGGAGAGAGTTCTGGACTGTTCTGGGATTAACATGGTTTGGAATCCAGAGGACAGATGTTCTTTCATCATTTGTTTCAGCATTTTCTTACATAGCGGTCTTAACCTTGAGGCTCATTCTGTCCATCTCATCTTCAGTTCTGACTCCAGGGAGGCGGGGTCCACGGTGCCAGCTGACTTAGAGACAGATGAGAGCGTCCTGATGAGAAGGCAGAAGCAGATCAATTACGGGAAGAACACCATCGCCTACGACCGCTATATTAAAGAAGTCCCGAGGTAGTCTTGTCTCACTGGCGCATCCTGATGGAGTTGTGGGGCACTGCCGTCTAGACTCTAGTCTGCTTTCATGGTGCATCTGACTCTGGGCGTACTTCACGCGCTCTCAGGACCATTGAACCACTTTGAGGCGCTTATGTTAATGACGAGGAAGGGATGGGTGACTGAAAACCCAGGGACACGAAGATAAGAAACTTAACGTGTTATAGTTCAGGGTGTTAGTTAACACTTCAGGTCCCAGGACTCCTGCGCTCTCAGAATTATAAGGCTATTAACGTGCGTGATGGGGGAAGAGTAAAATTCAGGTGACAGGTTGTAAAGATGGTGTTGGAGAAAAACATGAACCTTGCCCACTCTTGTCCCAGCAGCATGCTCTTCCACCTTGCTCCTCACAGGGTTGCAAAGAAAGCTTAGAGAGGGCATCCATTTCTTGATAGGACTGGGGTTCAGATGTGCGTTTCTGGAACACAGATAGTAAAGGGGTAGTAGAGTCAAAGGGGTGGTGCTTTTTTATATATTACTTTTGCTCATTTTATAGAGTCTCAGTTGACCTATGATTTTTTGATAACTCTGATCTCAGAGTTTGGTTAATCTTCAAGCGGATGTATAGATGCGGATGGTACGTATTAGGACAACCTCCCTCTTTCCTGTAGACACCTTCGACAACCCGGCATCCATCCCAAGACCCCCAACAAATTCAAGAAGTATAGTCGACGATCGTGGGACCAGCAGATCAAGCTCTGGAAGGTGGCTCTGCATTTTTGGGATCCTCCAGCTGAAGAAGGATGTGATTTGCAGGAAATGTATGTCTTCATTGCATTCTTGTTCTGTTTCTGCGATTTGTGCAGTGACTGAAATCACTTGATCATTTATGTGCAGGTTATCATGGTATTAAGTCCCCCTGGAGTTCTGAGAGAGCAGAGTAGCCTGTGGCCACAGCTTCATGTCTGTTTTCTCTGTGCATAAAGTCGGATGGGTGGACTCTGGGAGGCTGGTGGAGGGAGGAATCTGCTTCCTGGATTTAATTTACTTTGTAGCTAGAGAAAATGGAGCTCAGTAAATCTAGTAATATGCGGGCTGTTGTTCTTAAATTTTGAAGAAATAATGTTCTTAAATTTTTTTTTTTTTTTTTAAGAAAGGAAAGCAGGATTTTTTTTTTTTTTTTTAATTTATTTGAGAGAGAGAGAATGAGAGACAGAGAGCACGAGAGGGAGGAAGGTCAGAGGGAGAGGCAGACTCCCTGCCGAGCAGGGAGCCCGATGCAGGACTCGATCCTGGGACTCCAGGATCATGACCTGAGCCGAAGGCAGTTGCCCAACCAACTGAGCCACCCAGGTGCCCCAATGTTCTTAAATTTTAAAATAGGGCGCCTGGGTGGCTCAGTTGGTTAAGCGACTGCCTTCGGCTCAGGTCATGATCCTGGAGTCCCGGGATCGAGTTCCGCATCGGGCTCCCTGCTCGGCAGGGAGTCTGCTTCTCCCTCTCCCGCTTCCCCCTCTTGTGTTCTCTCTCTTTCTCACTCTCTTTCTCAAATAAATAAATAAAATCTTTAAAAAAGAATTTTTTTAAAATAAACATTCTAAAAGGTATTTGAGTAACATGTTGAACTATGAAAATAAAAGGCCTGTCTTCATTAAGGAAGCCTTTTATCTTTTTCCTGTTTTTAAATTTTTTTTTTTTTTAAGATTTATTTGAGAGAGAGGGGGAGAGAGAGAGATGAGAGCATGAGCAGGGAGGAGGGGCAGAGGGAGAAACAGACTCCCTGCTGAGCGTCAGGACCTGAGCCGAAGGCAGCCCCTTCACGGACTGAGCCACCCAAGCGCCCCTCCCTGTTGGTTTTTAAACTCAAACCCAGTTGGAAGGGCCTCAGGCCTGAGGTTTTGCCCTGGGGTTAGAATGCCCGTTGAACAGGGAGGTGGGAAGGACTGTCTTGCACTCGCCCCTTCTTTGGGCACCTCTTCTCAGCTCCTTCTTGATCTGGGTCTCTGCCTTCCTCAGACACAGATTATTCATTCAGCAAATACTTGAGTTTCTGCTTTGTGCTGGGGAAATTTATTAGAACCTGTCGTGTTTGAAATGACTTCTTTTTTTTTTTAAGATTTTATTTATTTATTCATGAGAGACCGAGAGAGAGAGAGAGGCAGAGGGAGAAGCAGGCTCCCAAGGAGCAGGGAGCCCGATGCGGGACTCGATCCCAGCACCCTGGGATCATGACCTGAGCCGAAGGCAGACGCTCAACCATCTGAGCCACCCAGGCGCCCCGTTTGAAATGACTTCTAACATGGCTTTATAGATTTGGCCTCACAGATGTCATCATGTCATACCCATTTTTTCCCACTGTGACACTATTGTCCCTTCTCTAGGAGTAGAAAATCGGAAAATCAGCGATTGCAGTGTTCATCAGCCCCCCTAATTGGGCCTATATTGACGCTTCCACTTAGAAGGGTGCTTGTGGGTGCGTAAATAGTCACACCACAGTTGAGAATGGGCAGGTGGTGGTGTGCTCTGAGCCAGGTGGACGTTTCTCCTTGCCATCACTGTGGCCGGCATTACCTGTGTGGGGCGGGGAGATGGGGGGAGATGGTGGGGGGATTCACTGCTAACCGTCCCGATGGCTTCAGGAGCATAGGAGACACTTGTCAGTCAGTGTTTGCTGCATGGGGCAGCGCGCTACTGACCGTGCTCGTATTGAGTGAACAGGCTTGGAGCACCTCCCGCTTTAAGTGGTGGCTGATGCACGTGTTGGCTCTCACCTCGCAGACATCCTGTGGACCTCGGCGAGATGGAGACGGAGTCTGCAGAAAGCAGCTCCGAGTCCCAGACAAGCTCTCAGGACAACTTCGTAAGTGCCTTTTCTTGGTTCCATCTCTCACCACAGGTGTCGGGTTAGTTGCTGACTGCGTCTGCCCCTTGATGAGCTGACACTGAAGCCAAAGTTTGGTTCTGGTGCTTATGAAGAAGGGGTTCCTTTGTCCCTTCTCTGACGTCATTGAAATGTTGACTTGATGGCGTTCCTAGGTAGTGGCCTTAATTGAGGTTTTTGGTTCAGTCCACCTAATAAGTTCTACCATTTTCATTTTAAAAGTGAAAGGCCTTTTTTCCTCTGATTCCAGTGTCTGTGTAGGCCTCGTCCCTGGCATTAATTTTAGGCTGTATACAGTTTTTGGGGGTGATTTGCTAGTACAAGATCATTTGCTAATTACTACTATATAAAGGTATGCTTTGGGCCTAAGGGTTTCCCCCACATTTGCCGATTTTTAAAAATTACATGGTTTTTGAGGGGAAAAAAACTATAAAGATTAAAAACGATATATAAAATTACCTCATCTAATCCTGTAGTTGTTGGTTGGGTGCATGTTCCTTCAGACTTTTCTGCATGTGTGCAAGCAAATATATGTGAGCAGGTTATAATAAAAGCTCTATTATTTTTATAAAGGAGACCACCTTGATATTTGTGTATGGAAATACTTAACATATTAAGTGAAAAAAAAAAAAAGATTGAAACTAGAAAAAAGCAAACGTTTGTTGTGAAGTACTTCTGTTTTATGTGGGATCATCCTGTACCATGTTTGGACAGTGGGGAAGCCTATAAAATAAAGGTGCATAGTTGCCTTTTTCTTTTTCTCTCTCTCTCTCTTTTTTTTTTTTTTTGCCTTCCATCTGTGTCCCCCTACCGTGGCAAGCCTGGCATGTGTCCTTCTAGTCTTGTGGCCCATCGCGTACCTCACACACTGTGTGACCCGCGTATGTGACTGCAAGGTCAGGAGTAATACAGATGTCCAACCATAGAGCAATAGCAGAGTTGTGTCACAACAAATAGAGCTGTTACAGGTTGTTTCTGAAGACTGATGACGTGGGAAAGTTGTAGAGAGAAATAAAAGCAGGATGTTTAATGATGGAATGATTCCAGTTTTATGGCTTGTTGACGTGTATGTAGGACTAAAAGGAACCCATGAACATCTCAACTGGTGGCCTCCATAGTTTGGATCAAAAGTAACCTTGTCCCAGCTCAAGAAGCAGATTCTGAACATACCACCTGCAGAATCAGAAGTTAGAGGGAGATGCTCAGGCCCAGGGGGCAAGGGGAGGGGAGCCAGACCATGAAGATTAGAGGCAGGGGTCCTGGGGGGAGTCCTGGGGGGCCCAAGAAGAGGTGGTTCAGAGATGGCTGGATGTGCTGAAGGGAAGAGAAGCCCGGGCCTAAGCACTTTATTTAGTACTACAAACACCTGGGTAACTGTGTCCCTCAACCACCCCACTAGATGCTCCACACAACCATTATGTCATTGTGCTCCAGAAATGTCATCCTGACAGAACAAAGCTCCTGGCTAATCAGCTGTCCATGTCCAGGCCTCCTGGCTGCCCTAAGAACGGTCTTTTTACAAGTCTTTTTTTCTTTTTTGATCCACAGTTTAATCAAGGATTACTTGTCTAAATTGTCATTTCTTACATTTTCTTAACTTAGAATAGTCTTCCTGCCTTTTTCCTCCCATGACAGTGACTTTTTGGGAAGACTTCAGGCTAGTTTTTGTAATGCAGAGTTCCTCATTTGGGAGTTCTCCTACTGTTTCTTTAAGAACTAGATTCAGATTGGACACTTCAGGCAAGAATGTGACCATGGTGGGGGGTGTATGTCCCTTTGTCCCACTATTGGGGATGTTAAATTTATAATATGATTCAAGTGGTATCAACCAGATCTCTTCATTGTAAAAGTAACTTTTTTTAAAAAGATTTTGCTTACTTGAGAGAGAGCACAAGCAGGGGGGAGTTACAGAGGTAGAGGGAGAAGCAGGCTTCCTGCCGAGCAGGGAGCCCGGTGTGGGACCTGATCCCAGGACTCCGGGATCATGACCCGAGCCGAAGGCAGACGCTTAATTGACTGAGCCACCCAGGCGCCCCTAAAAATCACTTTTTTAACGTTCATTTAAAACTTCAGTTTTAGTTGATATAAACATTGAGCTTCACTGGGTTTAAATGCTCCAAATAATAAACTCTTAACATTTGATTGTGTGACCTTGTAATTAAGTTTTTTTGATGAAAAAGCAAAACCTGTTTAGTAAGGCAATTCAGAAATACACCGAATTAAACACTGGTATCTCCTGCCCTGAGAGCCACTGTTGAGTTTTGTCCCGTCTTTCAGTGTTTTTGTGCTCATAGGTGTACACGGGTCTACACGTCTGAGCTTTTTGTTCCATATAGCGCGCACGATTCCTTTGGTGGTGTAGTTACTGGGAATTGTGAGTGAGTGCGTAGATCTTGACAGACGCTCTGTTGCTTGATTCCCAAAAGCTGTTCAGTGCAGGATGGGCTCAGGAGGGGGCTGTCCTCTGCCTGAGTGCAGAGCAGCTAAGCTAGATCCTCCTCGGCAGGTGAGCACGTGCTCAGTGGTTGGTGGGATTCTGCTCCCCCAGTCACGATGCAGCCCTTAGAGTCAAAGGACTGGGGCTCAGACGCCGTAAAGGGTCCGTTAGTTTCTTTTTTTTAGATTTATTTATTTATTTGACAGAGACACAGCGAGAGAGGGAACACAAGCAGGGGGAGTGGGAGAGGGAGGAGCAGGCTCCCCGCTGAGCAGAGAGCCCGATGCGGGGCTCGATCCCAGGACCCTGGGATCATGACCTGAGCCGAAGGCAGACGCTTAACGACTGAGCCACCCAGGGGCTCCGGGTCCGTTAGTTTCTAATGGGTTGGTTGGTGGGTAGGGATTTGACATACCCACGGAGAGGAAAGATTGATGTTATCCATGAATTTTAATTAGGTAATGGTTTTGAATTCTCTCAGGAGCATTCCAGCACGCATAGGCCTTTGCTGGTAATGCTCCGTCTTAGTCCTGTGGCGCTGTGGGCAAAGGAGGTGGCGGTCGCCCCTGGTAGGGGTGTGGTGCACAGCCTTGTGCGTCGTGTCTTGGGAACTAGCCCTGACTGTGTTCCTGTCTTCTAGGACGGGTACTCTGGCACACCCACTAAAGTCAGGCACGTGGACTGCCGAGTGGAGGACGAGTTTGATTTGGAAGCTTGTTTAACTGAGCCCTTGAAAGATTTCTCAGCCATGAGCTAACTGATGCCACCTGGGGGCCACTGGGAGCAAGAGTTGCCTCCACCTGGCAGGTTGGGGGCCGGCCGAGCATGTGTCCCGTGTTGGTAACCGGATGGTTTCTGTTCCTAGTTCATTATCTCATTATCTCATGGTGAATTGTTATTCTTGCCTTATTTTCTTAAGACACGTTAATTTTATGTATAGTGAATGTATTTTGCATGTTTTAAATTGTAAATGGAACTAAATCCAAGGAAAATTGAACTTGACGCAGTCTTGAAAACTTAATTGCTTAATCTCTACCATCCTCCAAGTTAACCTGACAAGCATATTTTAACTGATTTTCCGCCAGTATGTTAGATGTTGCGTTGTTACTTGTCAGATGGCTGGTTTGGGGTTAGTCACACATTCATGGGGCCAGTTATGCATCAGCTTTCTTTACTGGTATCTGAATATTCTCCTAATTGGATAATTTTAGTATCTTTACGGAAACTTAATTTTGGGCCTTTTGTCAGTACGTCAAGGTGTGTTTTTTTTCCCTCCTACAGAGCACTGAATAGTCGAAGGTAGTAAATTGAGGTGTTAAGGGATTTTATGTAAGTTATACAGTCTTAATTTGGTACTTGTAAATAGTGCTAGGTAGGCCTTCTACCTGTAATACTCCAAGAGTTAAGGCAGCAGAGGGGTTTAGAAAGAACATTTTTTTACAGTCAGTTAATTTACCATGTAAAATTGCTGTAAATGATAATGTGTACAGATTTTCTGTTCAAATATTCAATTGTAAACTTGTTAAGACTGTTATGTTTCTATTGCTTTTGTATGGAATGATATTACAAAAATAAAAAAGAACCTTCTTACCTGATTTATTACGTTGCCAAATAGGCTACCTGCTGAGATAATTGCTGCGTTTGAAGGACCTAAGTATCTGTCCTTACCGAGTGGCACTGGGGAGGACAGCGCACGGTGGTGAAGGAAGCATGGCCCTGGCTCATTGAACTCTGCCCAGTGAGGACCTTATTTCATAGGTTTGGAGCTCTGATGGCGCATCTTGGTCGGGCCAGAGTCACATCCGAATCTCCTGTGACTGCAGAGCCTGGCCACATTCGGCGTGTGTCCAGCAGACTTAACGGGGTTTGATGCTCATTCAGCAGCTGGGGTGAGTGGCAGGGCCTTTCCCTGTTTCCTGAGACAGACCAGGGCTGTGCAGTCTGCCTTGGAGCAGAGTGAGCATCGGACCTGGGTTTCGAGGGGCAGCCCTGACCACCTCATGTCTTCTGTAGTTATGCACTTGAACCCTGGAAACTTGGCCTACAGACATGGCCACTAGGCCACGGCCACGTGCCCTAAGAATGGTCCCTCAGACATGATGCTGATGTTATCTCAAGCAAAGGATGGGTTTTGTCAGCTTTGTTCACAGTCTTTCAAAAGGAGCCCTTCCTGGGGCGCCTGGGTGGCTCCGTTGTTAAGCGTCTGCCTTCGGCTCAGGTCGTGATCCTGGGGTGCTGGGATGGAGCCCCACGTCGGGTTCCCTGCTCCGTGGGAAGCCTGCATTTCCCTCTCCCACTCCCCCTGCTTATGTTCCTGCTCTCACTCTCTCTCTCTGTCAAATAAATAAAAATCCTAAAAAAAAGGGGGGGGACCCTTGTTCACTTTGTTCAGCCCATACTGTCAGGCACGGTTCTATTGGTATTGGAGGCCTGCAGGAGACAGGGTGCTCCAATATCTGCACTCACACTCTACTGGGGACAGAAGACTGTAAGTACAGTGTCAGGTTAAGGGGTGAGAGCAGAGATGGGCAGGGGCCTTGGG